AGCCCATAAAGTCAAATTAACCGATCAGCAGTTATTGCAATGGATGGTACCCATACTGCTGGTAATGCTTATATATTTGGGTACCTGGACAATATCCGATACGCCCTATGCTATATTTGTAAGTTTTAAGTTACTCACTAACTTAATTGTTTTAATAATAATTTTATTGTTTTCTTCATTTTGTTGCAGATAAACGATGAGGCTGGCTTAAATTCAAACAATGCTCCTATAATTGGTGGGATCATAGTTTGGCAATTGGTGAAGTTTTATTCTTAGCCTGGGGCATACGTGTTTGCTATAATGTCCGCAATGCAGAGTCACTTTACAATGAGGCTCGTCTCATTTCATATGCTATTTATAATATAGCACTTGTTAATATTACAATGGTGGCATTACAGTAAGTACATATATGTACATATATGTGTAATCGTGTAACAAAGAGTGAGTCTATAGTTTTGATGACAATTGACGTATGTTTAAAGAAAGCAGGTGAATAGGGGGTTTAACAAAAGAGTGTCTATATTTTTAGTACCTATGTTGAATTGGGTTAAAATAATTTTAGAATAATAAGTTGAATAATAGTGCTTTTGTTACAAGTTAATGAAGCAGTAAGATAGTGAATAGACTGCAGGTGTATGTTGAAAAGCACGTGTGTTAAATTAACTAAGAATATAGAGAAGAACATCAAGATGAGACTTAATATAATGTGTTCATTAAGACATATAAATAATAGATTAAACTTCAATTTTGATCAGAAATACTATTAGAGATCAGAGACCAAGCTCTTTTTCTTACTGAAACGCTTGTTTACAAAGTTGTGTGAACGAGCTCCAATACCCTATTAAACGCATATTTTAAAAGCTATTAAGGGTTCAAAATATTTTCAGTTTTTTCGTATCTTGAGTGATCACTAATTAAGCTTATTTTCTATACTAAAAGCTTAAATTTGAAATAAATGATAAGTGATCACTGATCGATCCTGTAAACGCTTATTTTCTCTCTTCCAGCATATTAATATATCCACAAGCGGGTCCGGACATTAAATACGCTTTGGGTTTTCTCAGAACCCAACTGTCGACCACCACTACAATTGCTCTTGTATTTGGACCGAAAATATCGCGTATCTTTAAAGGACAAGGTGATAAATGGGATCAAAAGGCTAAAGTTAGAAGCATAACAGCATCGTTTTCATTAAACGGTGTAGGTTTAGTACCAGACGAATCACCGGATTTGTATCAAGAAAATGAAGAACTTAAGGTAAGTGTTTAAAACAAAAGTTTTGGATAAAATATTTAATATTATAACGTTTTTTCGACATTAAAGGAACAATACAAAATTAGCCCATCAAATTGAATTCATGAAGACTGTACATATGCAAATAAATAATAGACATTTGAAACCTAAGCCGGGTGGTTATTTTACCATAACATCCACCTCATTCCAGGCTCCATTCAGTAAAAGTAATATGTCTTCAACGCAAACACAAACTTCCAAAACGGGACAAGATGATTCGCATACAGGTTCCATTAATAAAGGGTGAGTTTAATGGATAAAAATTGGATTTCAAGAGCAAATTTGCATTTGTGAAAAAAAAAACCTTAAAAAAAACTGATTTTTAATAACATTTTTCAGATTCCCCACCAACCTAACACCGACAAAATCAAAAACAAAAACAACCGAAAAAGTTTGACGAGGTCAACGAAGTGAAAATGATTGCTCAAATGATAATTATATTTGGACTACAAAGGAATCGCCATTCGAAGAACGTGGCCCGCTTGACCAGCCCGATGACGACGAAGAGGCTCAAAAACTATTTCAACAATTTCGTAATGTTTTTGGCAATGAGATTGGCACCAATCTCTATTATGCCTTAAACTCTGACGACGACAGCGATGAGGTGGCACACATACGCATCGAACAAATGATGGCCGAAATGAATGAGTTAACCGATACTTCGGATTCAACGACTAAAACCAACACCACTATAATATCACCAGATAGTACGGAACTTGAACCAACCATATTCGAAGAGTTGATTTTACAATCACCCACTTCATCCTCATCTATGTATGCCATACGTTCTCCCTCGCCACCATTGCCGGCCCACTTTAAATATCCTCTACATCTAAAGGCTCCAGCTCAATTTCATCCATCTGATTCGGAAGAAGAGGGTGTTACCCTTACCGAAATTGTTGAAATACATCGAGTACCTTCGGTGGCTCTTATAACAATTGATAATAATAATTTTCAGCCTTCTAACTTGCCACACGATGTTGATCACGATATGGAAAGTCAAGTGAATAACAATAATACATCGTGTTCGTTATCGTCCACTTTAACCGATAGTAAAACTTTGGATGTACGTACACCCATTGTGGTCTAAGAAAAGCAACAACAACAACAAATAGCAACTACAATAAAAAGAAAAGTGTTATAGTCAATAATTAATATCATTCAGTGTTGGTTTTGATGTGTTTACTACAAAAGTTAAAAAAACAGTCTTTTTAAAGTAAAAAGTAAATGGCAAAATTAATTTCTTTATAGGTTATGTTTAAATTTTTTAAGTTATGTATGATTTTTTAATTAAGATATTCTATAGATGTTGCTTTTATTTATTAAGATTTTAATTTACTCAAAAAAAATGTGTTTCAAAATTGGGTTTCTATTGAATAATTTGATTACTTTAAATATCGGATAAATACGATTTTTATAGTAATGGAATATACAATAGAACTCGATTTCTAATATTTACTATAATTTAGTTTGCTGTAAACATGTAAAACATGTTTAAGATTATTTTAATTTATAGATTTAGTGCTAGAACATTTATTTAAGAATTCTGTATGTATTGTAAATTAGTCAATTAATTATTAGGTTTCTTAAAAAAAATAAGTTCATAATTTTAATTTAGAGCTAAAATTGACATGGGATTTTAAATGATAATAACACTAGAATTATAAACATAAATCTGAAGATAAATTACAGCAAACGTAATAGAATTATCTCTCGTATCAAAATCTTATTACGATAACGAGACTATAGACTGGACCAAAAATTTGACTATAGACAAGACTTCAGAAAATATTATAATCTAGACTATATACTATAAAATATACTTTAGTTCAGAATAAATACTAAGCCTTAGTCCAGACTATAGACTAGATGATAGTTTAAACTATAGAACAGACGATAGTACCGACTATAGACTAGTCTATACAATAGACTATATTCCAGACTATACACTAGACTCTATTCCAGACTATACACTAGACTATAGTCCAGACTATAGACTAGACTATAGTCCAGACTATAGACTAGACTATAGTCCAGACTATAGACTAGACCAGCGGTTCCCACCGTTTTTTACTTCGCGGACCCCTTGAGGAATTTATTTAATTTCACGGACCCCCATACATATTTTGATATCTTATTGTTATAAATAATTGTTCATCTGAAAATTGTCTTAGTCCTGGTCCATAAACCCTATAAAATATTCCCGTACATTGAGAATATTTAGTATTTCGGAGATGTTTTCAATTGCATGGTTTTAAATATAGAATGACTTATAACATGATGTTTAATTTTATGATCGTGAGAGCTTTCATGTTCATTTCCCGTCAAGGCAGCGAAAAGGTTTCTTTATCAAGTATTGTCGACATGTGCTTAAAGAGTCATGTTTCTAAATTTTTTTGCGATTGCATAGGAGTGAGCTGAGTATGTAAGCTAAGTTTTCGGAAAAATATGTGAAAGTTAGACTTCTTCGATGTTGTTGCGGAATGCGTTACCCACATAAAATATGACCTGAACTCTTTGCGAATGTACTGTGAATTTGGATCTTAAATTTAAATTTTAAAATACCTACGAATTATTTTACTGCGTGGTTTTGACTATTTACGCAAAACGCTATGAATTTTCTGATGTTGATTTAATAATATTGGACAACAAAATGAAGTTAAAATCTGTGTATCTCGTCGGAATGGAATATTTATATTTAAAATTAACTAGATTAACACTTTTGCTTACAATTTAAAAAAGTATTATGAAATGTGACCTAACTTCATATTCCGGGATACCAGTAACAGTATTTAATTCTAAGGCAAATCATTATCGATACATATACATTTATAAAAATTACAAATCACGTAATACTTTACTTTATAAAAGTGAAACAATAAATTTGTAGGGCCTAGCTTCATCCTGATAAACGACCGAAACAATAAAATTCAAAAAGTCACCAACAAATCTGGGATTATTGAATAAAAATTGTGTATTTTAGTACTTATGAAAAATTTGGAGATATTTTTAATATTTTCTAACATATAGAGAATATTTTTTATTCATGATTTTTTTCGTTCGTCTTCGCGGACCCCCTAGGATTTTGCTACGGACCACTAGGGGTCCGCGGACCCCCTTTTGGGAACCGTTGGACTAGACTATAGTCCAGACTATAGACTAGACTATAGTCCAGACTATAGACTAGACTATAGTCCAGACTATAGACTAGACTATAGTCCAGACTATAGACTAGACTATAGTCCAGACTATAGACTAGACTATAGTCGAGACTATAGACTAGACTATAGTCGAGACTATAGACTAGACTATAGTCGAGACTATAGACTAGACTGTAGTCCAGACTATAGACTAGACTATAGTCCAGACTAAAGACTAGACTATATTCCACACTATAGACTAGACTATATTCCACACTATAGACTAGACAAGACTAGACTAGACTAGACTAGACTAGACTAGACTAGACTAGACTAGACTAGACTAGACTAGACTAGACTATAGTCTAGACTATAGTCCAGACTATAGACTGGACTATAGACTAGACTATAGTTTAGACTATAGACTAGACTATAGTCTAGACTATAGTCCAGACTAGACTATAGTCCAGACTATAGACTAGACTATAGTCCAGACTATAGACTAGACTATAGTCCTGACTATAGGCTAAACTATAGTCCAGACTATAGACTAGACTATAGCCCAGACTATAGACTTAACTATAGTCCAGACTATAGACTAGACTATAGTCCAGACTATAGACTAGTCCATAGTCCAGACTATAGACTAGACTATAGTCCAGACTATAGACTAGACTATAGTCCAGACTATAGACTAAACTATAGTCCAGACTATAGACTAGACTATATAGACTAAACTATAGTCCAGACTATAGACTAGACCATAGTCCAGACTATAGACTAGACTATAGTCCAGACTATAGACTAGACTATAGTCCAGACTATAGACTAAACTATAGTCCAGACTATAGACTAGACTATAGTCCAGACTATAGACAAAACTATAGTCCAGACTATAGACTAGACTATAGTCCAGACTATAGACTAGACTATATTCCAGATTATAGACTAGACTATATTCCAGACTATAGACTAGACTACAGTCCCGACTATAGACTAGACTATAGACTAGACTATAGTCCTGACTATAGACTATATAATATACTAGACTATAGAATAGACTATAGACTAGACTACAGACTAGACTATAGTCTAGACTATAGAGTAGACTATAGTCCAGACTATAGACTAAACTATAGTCCAGACTATAGACTAGACTATAGTCCAGACTATAGACTAGACTATAGTCCAGACTATAGACTAGACTATAGTCGAGACTATAGACTAGACTATAGTCGAGACTATAGACTAGACTATAGTCGAGACTATAGACTAGACTGTAGTCCAGACTATAGACTAGACTATAGTCCAGACTAAAGACTAGACTATATTCCACACTATAGACTAGACTATATTCCACACTATAGACTAGACAAGACTAGACTAGACTAGACTAGACTGGACTAGACTAGACTAGAAGACTAGACTAGACTAGACTAGACTAGACTAGACTAGACTAGACTAGACTAGACTAGACTAGACTAGACTAGACTAGACTAGACTAGACTAGACTAGACTACTAGACTAGACTAGACTAGACTAGACTAGACTAGACTAGACTAGACTAGACTAGACTAGACTAGACTAGACTAGACTAGACTAGACTAGACTAGACTAGACTAGACTAGACTAGACTAGACTAGACTAGACTAGACTAGACTAGACTAGACTAGACTAGACTAGACTAGACTAGACTAGACTAGACTAGACTAGACTAGACTAGACTAGACTAGACTAGACTAACTAGACTAGACTAGACTAGACTAGACTAGACTAGACTAGACTAGCTAGACTAGACTAGACTAGACTAGACTAGACTATAGTCTAGACTATAGTCCAGACTATAGACTGGACTATAGACTAGACTATAGTTTAGACTATAGACTAGACTATAGTCCAGACTAGACTATAGTCCAGACTATAGACTAGACTATAGTCCAGACTATAGACTAGACTATAGTCCTGACTATAGGCTAAACTATAGTCCAGACTATAGACTAGACTATAGCCCAGACTATAGACTTAACTATAGTCCAGACTATAGACTAGACTATAGTCCAGACTATAGACTAGTCCATAGTCCAGACTAGACTATAGTCCAGACTATAGACTAGACTATAGTCCAGACTGTAGACTTAACTATAGTCCAGACTATAGACTAGACTATAGTCCAGACTATAGACTAGACTATAGTCCAGACTATAGACTAAACTATAGTCCAGACTATAGACTAGACTATATAGACTAAACTATAGTCCAGACTATAGACTAGACTTTAGTCCTGACTATAGACTAGACTATAGTCCTGACTATAGACTAGACTATAGTCCTGACTATAGACTAGACTATAGTCCTGACTATAGACTATACAATATACTAGACTATAGAATAGACTATAGACTAGACTACAGACTAGACTATAGACTAGACTATAGTCCAGACTATAGATTAGCCTATAGACCATAATATAGAATAAATACTAAGCCACTTCATTTCGTATGTGAAATATTCAATGTTGATTATAAAATCATTAAAAACATATCCAAATCGTCAGATTTGACATGTACATATACAGTGGACGTCCACTAGTACGAATTATATAGTGTCAGGCCCTTTCGTAATACCGAAAAATTCGTATTATTGAACAACACATTTTCTATGTTTAAATTCAAATAATACACATAAAATATTGGATTTTATTTATTTTTGTTTTATTTTTCATGAAAAAGTACATAACGGAACAAAATATAATAAATGTGTATTATTTTAAATAAATTTCTTGTACATAAACAGGCATAAAAGGGACATATTTACGTATATGAATTGTTAATTTTGAAAGTATCGTGAGTCCAATGGTTGAAATGAGATATATGTAGAAGGTTTTAAATTTTAATGTTTTTAAAAAGATGTGTGCCAAAGACAATTTGCAATTTACATATGTGTTCTAAAATGTGTTAAAATGTTCAGATTACATAAAACTTTTATTAGAAACTTGAATGGAATATACCACAATTCTCTAATTTATAATTTTCTCTTAAAAATTAGAATAGTTATCCTTAAACCCATTGTTTGGAATGTGGAGTCACACTACTTTCAAAATTAACAGTTCATACATACATATGTATGTATATCAATATCATTTTACTTATTAAAAAATCCATCATTTAACATCGATGTTTATTACATTGTAAAATGATTCTTACGGCTTTTTCAATAACAGCGCTTTTGAGGCTTCAATATTGTTCTCAGCAGAGTTATTGTCGGGAACTAATAAAATACTTTCCTCATTGGCGTTATCATCCAATTTAATTTCTTCTCTTGGGTCATCAAAATTCCAATAAAATAAATTAATAACACTAAATAATTGTTGATTTGTAAATATACATGCAGTAAATTGTGTGTATAGGATTTTTAAAAATACAAAACACTTGTAATAAATACAAAAAAACTTCAAAATTACTGAGCTTAAGGTGAATGATACCAAAATAATAAAATAAAAACATAATAAAAACTTCATTCATACGTAAATAAAACCAAAATTCCCAAAAAAAATGAGTTATTCGTACTATCGAACAGAAAAATTGTGACTTTATTCGTACTATAGAGTAGACAATGCAACAATTTTGCCATTCGTATTATTGGATATTCGTAATAAAGAGTGTACGTACTATTGGACGTCCACTGTATTGTCAAATTAGCAAAATCCACAACACAGCCTGTTCTTGTTTATAGTTAAGAACAAGAATATTTGTCGGAAATTTTCGGTATTAGTTTCGTAAAAGCAT